CATGAAAGTGCTGTGAAAGAGAGGGACATGGTGGCCCGAGAGGGTGTTCTGGGGAGATTGGATCAGGTGGCGGGAGCAGGGAAGTGACAGGTGAGCTGAGCTCTGCAAGAAAAGTAGGCAGTGACCAGGTAAAGGGACAAAGCATATTCTAGATAGAGGAGTTGCTGCTGCAAAGGTACTGGGTCAGTGAGTGGGTCTGTGGAAGTGAAGGCCCCACAGAGAGGAAAGTGGTTTGTGATGAGGCTGGAGTGGTGAGCAAAGGCCAGACCCTTGCTGGTGGTGGTGGGAATTTTGTTCTTTATCCTGAGAGTAAGGGAGGGTCATCAGAGCATTATCAGTTAGCTTTGGCCATGGAACAAACTATCCCCAAACATAGTGACTTAAAACAACCACGTCTTCTTTAGCTCGGGAGCCTGGAGGGTAGCAGTTTGTGCTGGGCTCAGCTGGTGGCTCCTCTGGTCTGGGGCAGGCCCAGCTGATCTTAGGTGGACTTGTTCATGTGTCCATGGTCAGCTGATGGGTCACGTGGGGCTGGCTGGTTCATGATGGCCTCTCTCCTCATGTGACAGGCTAGCCCAAGCTTGGTCACAGGATGGCAGCCTAGTGTGAAGTGTGTGAACAGAAGCCACAAGGCCTCCTAAGGCCTAGACCCCAAAGGGCAGAGCATCACTTCCTGTCAGTCAGAACAAATCACAAGATGGGCCCAGATTCAGGGGATGGAGAAGTTGACTCCTCCTCTCCATGGGAGGAGTTGCTAAGCATTTGGGTCATTTTTGCCAACTACTACAAAGATTTTAAGTAAAAGACTTTTTTTTTTTTTTTTTTTTTTTTAGAGGGTTAAAAGTTCCCTTTAGCATCTGAAGGGAGAGGAGTTGGGGGGCAGTATTTAACTAGTATCTGTTCTTTCCTCTGTTATTAGTAACAGAAAGCCAGTTTTTATTCCTACACATTGCATCCTAGAATAAAGACTGGATTTCCTCCCCTCCTTTATAGCTCCATATAGCTGTGTTTTGTGAGACTTTTAGAGAGTCTCCTTATAAAAGAAGGGTCAAGCCTTTCTTCTCTCCTTCCTCCCCCTGCTCTCCTTGATGTGTTGGATGGGCATGTGTTGTTGGAGCTTGGGCAGCCACCTTGGACCATGAGGATGCAGACCTCATCCTAAGGAGGGTGGAATGGAAATCTGGAGGAGCTGGGGTCCTGATCACTCTGTGGAGCCACATATCAGTTTGGACTACCTGCCCCACATGGCCCCTATTGGTTCACAGCTTTCCCTTCTCTGGGGAGTTGCCTGTTTGGACTGGAGCTGTTCCACTGGTTATGTTCGCTCGGAGTGTGGGGGTACAAAGGGCCTGCTTCCCTTTGATTGATGGTAAGACCCACTAGGAGCTGCCGTAGATGCTCCAGAGCTTCCCATGGGGTTTGCCTGAGGCGTTGCCAGCCCCATCCCGTGTCCCTTACTCTCCTTCTCCTTGGAAAGCCCTTTCCATAAATCTTACAAAAACCCTCATCTCAGGCTCTGCTCCTGGAGACCCAACCTCAGGTACCCTCTGCTCCCTGCCCACAGTGAGCCACAGACCAAGAGCCTGGCTTACCCACCAAGCTCCTGGCTCCGAGCAAACCTTAATCACTTGACTCAATCCATTTTGCCCACAGTTTTGCCGTGGACAGAAGAGGAGTGTGCTTGACTCCCACAGAGCAGGCACTATGGTGTGAAGAACTCGAGAGAAATAAACTTTTTCTGGGCCAGGGGATGGAAACCAAGGGAGCGCTCAGGAAGAGAGGCTTCAGATCTGGTCAGCGTGTGGGGCCCACCAGCCGAGTCCCTCCCATTCCCAGTCCCTCCTTGCTGCAAGCCTGTTTGAAGTCCGTGGGCCGCCTGGTCTGCTGGATGGACAGCATTTGTAAGCAACTCTTTCCCCAGCCCAGTTAATAATTCAGGAGCCAGTGCCTGCAGCCAACCCATCATTCCAACCCTGCTGCACCCCAAACGCCAAGCTAGTGGACAGGAAACAAAAAATCACCATACCCGCTTGAAAAATGGTCCTTGCTTCAAGTGCTTGCTGTGTGCCCCGTGCTCGGGTGGGAGAGAGCTGAGCCGAGACGGATCTGCTGGGCAGACAATGAGAGAAGTGTGGAGCAGTGCCCGGGGCTCAGGCATGCACGCTGAACAGTATTTAATTTTTGGATCCTGAACCACGTTTGTTTTTGGACAGTGGGATGTAGTCGCTGGAGTGCAGGCCTTGGAGGATCCATCTTTTTTCTTCTGATTCAGCTATTCATCCTTCACTCACTGTCTCTCATTCATTCATTCATTCATGCATTCATTCATTCGGCAACGATTGCTGCCACTGATGGGGAAGTGGCATTGAAGATACGGGGGCGGGGGGCTGGGGGAGTGACACCTGTCCTTAGGGAGGCAGACACAGTGGGAGGTGCCACACTTAAGGGGCTCGAGACAAGAAGCAGCTGGCTGGGGGCTCTGCGTCTGGGGGCAGCCTGTTGCCTGGGTATGTGAGGGCCCTAAATGTCCGAAGCAGGGAGGGCAGGGTAGAGAGGTTAATGGTTAAGATCATGGACTCAGGGACCAGAGCGCCTGGGTTCAAATCCCAGCCCCACCACTTACTCACACACAGTTGGCCTCTGTGTGCCTCAGTTTGCCCATGTGTAAGACAGAGTTAATAATGGGAGACTGAGACAAACGATTTCTTATTGTTAAGACAATGAGAACAGAGACTTTGAGAGTGAAATGAAAAATCCAAACTCTGACAAAGGCAAAGTGCTGGCAACTATAAAGTAAAGCCACCTTCGGAAAGTGACGGGGCGGGTTCTTATGAAGCCAAACACATGTCCCAGCCTGCGGTCCCACCCGTGGGTATTCACCCAGATGAAATGATAAACTTCTGTTCATACAAACACCTGTACGTAAATGTTTACTACTCACTTCGTAACCTGCCCGATTGGGAAACAACCCAGTGCCTCTCAATGGGAGAGCTGATGGACCATGGAACATTACTCAGCACTAAACAGACAATGTGGGTGAGTCAAAATGGCTACGCGAAGGTGGCCAGGCTTATAAGGCTCCTACGTACTGATTGATTCCACGTGACACTCTGGAAAACCGTATGGACAGAAAACTGGTCAGCGGTGCTGGGGTGGGAGGAACTGACCAAAAGGGGCAAGGGGGGATTTTTGGGGTGCGATGAAACTATTCGGTATTCAGGGTGTGGTGGTGGATGCCTGACCCATCTATGTGCATGCTTGTCAAAAATCCATAGAACTGTACACAAGAAAGGGAACATTTTACTGCATGTGAATTATGAGAGGTTTGAGGTGGTATATATAGAGGTTTTGGAGGAAGTAACAGGAGTCCAGGGAAGGAAAACATAGGTCAGTTTGTTGAAGAGCCTTGAATGCCGTGTCAGATCCTTTGGACAGGGGGAAGATTCAGAAGTTTTTAAGCAGTTAAGGAATATAAGTAGGTTTTTGTTTCAGAAAGATGGCTGCATTCTGTTTAGAAGCAGAAGCCTTTGAATGTGTGGCCCTGAGATTGCCTTCAGAAATTTTCATCCATCCTCCCCCTTTCTGGAAAGAATTTGAATTTGTGACCCACATTGAAAAATCAGGAGATCTTACATATAGAATTCTGGATTTCTGGCTTTTCTTTGATGGGATGCATGTCCTCCAGTAGGCTGAGCCCCGTATCTACTCCCTTGTAGTAGCTTTCTGGCCCCTGAGGGTGTCCATTTTAGACCCCAGGGGATGGAAGTGCGTTTGAGGGGGAAGAGAGCAAGGGCAGAGGTGCTTCCTGGCCCGGACAGAACATGATCCTCACCCGGGGAACTTTAAACCCTACTGATGCCTGGGCATCTGCATCTTGTAAATGTTCCCCAGGTGCTTCTACTGTGCGGCGGGAGCTGGGAACCACTGGTCTGGGGGGAAGAGACAGCCTGGATTAGGGGGGCAGCAGTGAGGGAGGGGAGGTGTTAGGGACTGATGGGACGTGGGGCTGAGGCAGGGGCGGGGTCCAGTGCGACAAGGGCCCCCGCTGGAACAATGGGGTGGGATGATGTCATTTGCTGAGAAGGGACACAGGAGGTGGTCGAGGGAAGGGGGGTGAGCTCGTTTTGGACACGCTGTGTCCGGGGAGTCTGTGGCCTCCAGTGTGCGGTTGTCTAGTGTTGCTGTGCTTACAACTTTGCTTTTGTGTACCCTCTGTCCTTCTCTGAGACAGGAGAGCAAGGCAGCAATGGGGGTGTGAGGAGGGAAAGCAGCCCCAGAGCCTCCCCAGAAGATTCCCCCCCAGGGCCTGCCTGTGGACAGGGGTCCCTTGGGCAGGACTGGGGGCGGGGAGTTCCTCTGGTCTGCCTGGGTCATGGGTGCTCTGCCCCTGCTGAGTGATATTGCCTGGACAAAGTGGGGGAGAATGTACTCAAAGGCCCTCATGCTCGAGATGAACGGCCCCACCAGTCCAGACATGCAGTGCCCTCAAACCCAGAACCACTCACCCCTGAAACCTATCAAACCATCTGCTGATCTGTCCTGTCTTCTAAGCAGATGCTATAGCTCCATTTTTTTTGTTGTTTTTTGTTTCTTTCTTTCTTTTTTTTTTTTTTTTTTTTGGTTAAGAATACATTGTTTGTGTTAGCAGTCATGATCCTTTGTGTGCTGTGAGCGAAGCTAAGGCAGGAACCACTGTGCCCATTTATAGACAAGCGCGGAAAGGGGAGGAAGCAAACGTTTAGGACCTACTACTTGCCAGGTAATTCATAGACATTTTCACGTAATTCACAGAACCATCCTACCTATGTATGAAATAGGGGTTATTGTTCCCATTTTCCAGATGAGGAAAACGAGCCCAGAAAGTGTAAGTATTTTGCCCCAGATCACCAGCCTGGAGGGAGCAGAACTGGCAGCTGAGGGCTCCTCTCAACACGGTTCTTTGGTGTATTTGCATTTGTCACTGTGACCTCGGCAGGAACACACATGCATGTACACTTTCAGCCTCTCCAGACACCTTTTATTGTCTTTGGTGCCCCCTCCGCTTTCCTTCTTGAACCTAGTGGATGTCTTCGTGACTGTTCTAACCTCCGCCCCTCAGTGGACACACCTCCTCCCCAGGGTCTGCATGGTCAGCCCCCAGGGAAGGGCTTTATTGTCCTGAGAAGGGGCAGATGGAGGTCTCAGCCTTCCCACCCACCTAGGAGATGTTCGCTAAATGGCACAGAGCTGTCTCATCCCAGCCCTTCTGGGCTGGTTTGGTTTCTGTCACCATTACGCATTGATCAGGGCATTGTGCTGCCATAGGAAGCACTGTCCCTACCATCTCAACAAAGGTGATTTCTGTCCTCCTTGCCTCTACCTCCTCTGAGATGCACGTAGAGACAGAGATGGGGCATCGGGGAACGTTTGCTCCTGGGAAGATTCTGGGCTGAAGCTACCTGGCAACAGTGCTCAAAATTAAAGGGAGAAGCTCACTTGGAGGATGCTCTTCAGGGATGGGGCTCCCTGAACACAGCCATCGTGAGCATCCTCTCTGGATGCTGCTGGCTCTTGTGGGCAGCTCATCTTACAGAGCTTGGTAGGGATCCAGCTCCTCCAGGGCTGTGGTGCCCCACGATGGTGTTTCCTTCAGCTGGCTCTTGTGGACAGTCCCAGCCGAGACTGGCGCTTGCTTCTTCTGAGCTTATCATGACTGGTGTTGGTTATAGATGGTGTTCATCACTTAGCATGGTTTCTCCATGGGAGGTTCTAACTTCAGATGGTTCTAAATAGAGTTGGTATTTGCTGCTGATCACAACTGTCCCCACTGATGGGTTTTGGCACTGGTGATCCCACCATGATGGTTCTCAATACAGATGGTTTTGCCAGTGATGGATCCTGTTAGGGCTGGCTCATCACTGGGGCTCATAAGTGGTTTGGCTAGTGGAGGTGGATGCAGGTGAACCCAGCACTGACGACTCTTCATACAGCCATTCCTCTCAACAGTGGTTCTCAATAGAGATGGTCTCACTGTTGATTGCTGATTGCTGAGTGTAGATGGTGCTCATCATCCATAGTTCTCGCTACACACGACCCTGCTGCTGATGGTTGTTGCTACAAATGGGGCTATCCAAGGTTCCGACACAGTCAGTGTATACTTTTTTAAAGGTATTTGCTCTGGCAATAACCACTCTGGGTGAAGTCTGGGTTTGCTGGGCCGTCATGTCTGTATTTTTCAAGAACCTGGTGGCCAGCAACCCGGCTCATAAAGGCATGCACATCTGGGCGGGCTGCTCCTCCTTGGCGGCCTGGTCGCCGGCTTTGGCCTTGCCCCCAGACTTGTCCTCCTGAAGACTGGTGTTACTTTTCACCCCACTTTGCACATTGCTGTCCACTGGGATGTCCTGGCAGCTGCTGGCCTTGCTGGTGGGAAGGCTGTGGGCGGAGCTGAGCAGTCCGCTACTCACCTGATAGTTCAGGGCACTGCTGCCCAGGCTGATGAAGCTCATGCTGGTCAGGCTGCTGGCCCTGCTGCTGAGGCCGCTGCTGGGCAGGCTGGCCTCGCTTTTCCCCTCCAGCCTGCCTGCTGCCATGGGCTTGGCCAGCCGCCCGCCTTCTGATTTGGCTGGGCGAGTAGATGGTACACAGCTGGCTGCTTGGGGCGCTGCCTGCCTGGGTGTGGAGCCTTCTCGGCAACCTTAAGATTGGAGTGTTGCCCACCAGGCTGACCTCACTGTTCTCCTCATCGCCTGCGTACCCGCTGCTCAACAGGCTGGTGTCACTTTCCTTGCATTTCCCCTGGCTGGACTGTCGCAGGCTCAGCAACCCACTCTCACTGCTCCATGGGTTTCCCAGGTTACCCCTCGAAACTCTCGGGGACTCCTGAGTCGCTCCTGTGTCATGGTGTGGCCATGCCAGGGGCTGGGGCTCTACGCTGGGGGCCGGGAGGCTTGGCGCTTGGCCCTGAACATTCCAGGCAGCAGACTCCCTGTTTCTACCCTGGAGGAAGGTGGGGGGCAACTGATCTGGTTTATCCAGGGGGAGGGGGCCCTGGGAGGCCTATGAATGGTAGGTCTGGTACGTCTGGGGAGAGGAGGCTCAATTTATAGGGTGGCCTTTCAAAGGGGAGTGTTCTGATTGGCTGGCCCGGTTCCCACGGTGAGGGGTTTATGAGGCGGGGTGGGGGTGGGAAGGACAATGCTCTCCCCGCACCATTTACATCAGTGGCTGGGGCTGGGCATGGGCAGAAAAGGGGCTTAGGGCCAGAGAGTGGGGAGACCCACTTACCTGGGTACGCTTCCTGCAGGGCGTGTTGCCTCTGCTTTGCCATGTCAGGAGACCTGGGTGTGCATCCCAGCCGAGCCCCTTCTGAACTGTATTCCTTTAGGATGGCACTTCTTCTGAGACACTTGCTCCAATCTGAGACTACTGGGAGGCCTGGGGACAATATGACAGTCAGGAGTTTATCCTAAACTCTTTGCTGGATCTCCAAGGGCCTGGCTGGTCTGGCTCCTCTCTCTCAGCCTGGTCCCACATCACACCCTCCCCCTTCCTCACTTCAAGGGGGCATCACACTGGCTGTTTTCTTATTCTGAGCTCTGACCTGCTGCAGAGCCTTTGTACTGGCTGCTCCCACCACCTGGAATGCTCTTCCCTCAGCCCCTTGGCCTTCAAACTTCAGCTCCAGTGGCCCCCAGGAAGTGTCCCTGGCCTCTACAAGAAGGTCCCTCTATTAGTCTTCACGTCACTTCCTACTTTATGGGCCTTGTGGCATGAAACACAATTTGCAAGTCTTTTTATGTGTTGGTTACTGAGTGCCCGTCCCCTCTGCTAGAATATCATCTTTGCGAGGGCAGAGATTTTGATCTCTTATTCTCTGCTGTGCCCCCCACGCCCAGCATACTGCCTGGGACATAGTAGATGCTCGTTAGGCATTTGCTGAATGTATGAATGAATTAACTGCTCTAAGTTAATTCTAAGTTGGGATGCACTCTAACCCAACCACCTAGGGAACTTTTTATTTATTTATTTTTAAAGATATTTTATTTATTTATTTGACAGAGAGAGACACAGTGAGAGAGGGAACATAAGCGGGGGAGTGGGAGAGGGAGAAGCAGGCTTCCCGCTGACCAGGGAGCCCGATGCGGGACTCGATCCCAGGACCCTGGGATCATGACCTGAGCCGAAGGCAGATGCTTATTGACTGAGCCACCCAGGCGCCCCTCCTAGGGAACTTTTTAAAAAACACGTTTGGATTTTCTAGGGCACTGGTCCTCTCCCCTGACTGCACCCCCAGGCATCCCTAGGGTCCCACTTCCAGAGGTTCTGAGTTAATTGATCTGGGTGAGGCTTTGGCATCAGAATTTTAAACCGCTCTCCAGGGTGGTTTGAATGTGCAGCCAGCACTGAGAACTAGGGTGCCAGGAGGCGAGGCTCAGCCAGATGCACTACTTGTGGATGAGTCTGTGTGCTACCCTGGCTAAGTAGTATTGTGGATGAGAACACCCACTGGGGTGCTTATTAGCGGACACTGGGCGCCTGGGTGGCTCAGATGGTTAAGCCTCTGCCTTCGGCTCAGGTCATGATCCCGGGGTTCTGGGATCGAGTCCCTCATCGGGCTCCCTGCTCCTTGGGAGCCTGCTTCTCCCTCTGCCTCTCTCTCTCTCTCTCCCTCTCTCTGTCTCTCATAAATAAATAAATAAAATCTTTAAAAAAAGATTTTATTAGTGGACACTGAATAGATTTCCACTGAATGACTGAATTAAAACAAAATTCATTGACCCTTAAAGGGTCATAGGTGGGTTTCAAGGACTGGGGGAATTCGTTGAAATTGTAGCAGACCTTGCGATGAGCTATGTATATGCTTTCCCACCAGGAAGGAGTCACACCTTTGTCAGATTCTTAAAGGTATCCACGATCCTCCTAAGATCAAGAAGCATAATGATTCAGCTCAACTCTTGCCTTAGCATTTGGGAGACAGCTGGCCCTGATGCTTGGCCTGATGGTATGGGTCTGGAGAGGGCTGGCTGGCTGTGTTTGGGATGCAGGGGGTGGGGAGGAGGAAGGCACTCCTTGGAGAGTGCACCACTCAGCCCCTTGGCAGTCATCCGTGCTTCCGTGCTAATTATCCCTGTCATCTGTATTACAAATTCCTTTCCCATTGCCTGGGGCCATTTAGCTTCCCTCTGCTGTATGCAGAGGCATCTCTTTTGCTGTGGAAATTATCCTTCTGGGATATGAGGGGCTTCTCATAGCTGTCTGGCTCCCTGTCCCTTCCTTACGTTCCCTGCTAGGGACCGCGAGGGAAGGGACAGACACAGTGGCTAAGCAGTGATTCCAGAGGAGGCGGTGTGGTGGGATCCAGCCGTCGTGAGAAGTGGGGACCAGGTCTAGCTTTAGGGGGCTGGCAGGAGAGAGGCATGGTCGGACTCCAGGCAGGTAGGCTGGGACTGGCTCTGCCCCTGCATGAACATAAAGCAGGGCAGGTGCCCCAAAGCTGGGGCTTAATGGGGAGCCGACTGGGACTCATATTCTCTCCTGTTCCCATCCCACCTGCCCCAGGCACAGTACATATGGGCCAGAGGACTGTAGTGAACACCTGAGGGTTTGTGCAGGGACCAGAGCCCTCCCTACTCTCTGGCTCATGTAACCAGAGTCAGTAGTAGCCCGTGGACACAGCAAGGCTGTGTCAATGGCCGTGTCTTGGCCAGCACTCTCCTTCTAAAGGTTGTTCTTGAAGTCTCAGGAAGGCATCTCAGGTGAGCTCTTTATTCTTTGGGTCCAGTCTTCTCATTCCTGCCTGCACCAGAAGCCACCTGGGGGTGGTGCCCTTGTTCCTGCACAGGCTAGGGGTCAGAGCAGAGCTGCCCCACCTGGATGCTGTTTCAAGACCCCACCCTGCCCCCAGAGGTGCAGGTGCTCAAGGGCCAAACGGAGCAGCACCCTTCTGAGCTGCAGTGCGTGGAGAAGGGGGCCGGTGGGGGGTGCTTCTCCACAAGGCCCTTTCTCTTTCTGGGGACTGGGTACCAGGTGCTTCTCTGGTTTCCAGTCTTTCTTGCTGTCTGCCCCACTCTGAAACCCCTCCAGGTCCCACACACATATTCCAGCCTCTTTCTCCAGGTTTCTTTTCCTTCATGACTTTCAGATACTTCATACAGATGACGGGCACCCACAGGACCTCAGCCTGCGTCCCACGCAAGGCTCAGACAGGAAACCTGGCTACCGATCCCAGGATCTGTGTGTCCCGGAGACCGGCCCCTCCCTGATGTGACAGACAATGCTCCATGTTCCCCAGACCATCTCAGTTCTCTCCTCAGCCCATAGGAGAAATATAGGTCTAACCCCCTGCATCTAGGTGGGGTCGTTAGGGCATGGGCAGCAGGCCCGGAATAGAAACCTCTCCCGTGCAGCCGCCTCACTTCTTCCGTTCTGCGGGGGCCTTGGAAGCCACGCGGCAGGCCCCACAGTGGATGGAGCCTGGGTCCCTGGGTGGCTGTGTGCATGGAGAAGCCCTGCCCGCCACCAAATGCATTTGTGCTGTCAGTGAGCAGTGATTTCTGTGCTCGACTGCCATGGCCGCGGGCTTGTGCCTTACCACGGCAGAGTCTGCCTCACACGCACTAATGTGCCCCGTGCCCACACACCTGCCAATGCACTTCACTGGGTTGAGCTTCCTCTCTGAGAGGGTATGCAGTGGCCCCCGGGTCTGCCGTCCCACCCCGACGTCTACCCTCAGGATCTCAGCATCCAAGTGCCCTGATGGGGATGAGAAAGAGCTTCACCAGCCCGGAAAATACCCCCCTCCCCTTAATCCTAATATTTATCCCGAATATTCCAGCAGAAGCCCTGGCTAAGTCGGGCATCAGTTCTCTAGGTATGACACACTGTGATCACTTCGAACTCAGGGAGATGTTTTTCTGGTTTTCATTCGTTCCTTCATTCAACAATATTTCCTGACCTCCTGCTCGGGCTTCCCTCTCACCAATACTTGCTAAGTGCCTGCCCTGCGTCAGGCTTGGGCGGGGCTGTGACCTCAGGGATGGATGGAAAGATGTAAACAAGAATTTGCGGTGTGATCATAAATGTGAGCAGGGCACAAGGACAGAGATGGAGGGCGTGTGCGTGCGCACGTATTATGTGCGTGTCCATACGTGCACGTGACCGTTGCAGGCCACTGTCCCTCGGGCAGAGCCAGCTAGCAGCAGGAGGAGAGGTCCTAGAGGCAGCCATGGGGAGGCTGGGACCTGTGGCTCCAGTGAGCTGGAAGCCGCTGCAGACTTTTCAGCAGTGATGAGTGGACCAGAGTTTGAACAGGTTGCCGTTGTGGGGGGCGGGCAGTAGGGACGGGAAGATGGGGCCGGGAGCTAGTTAGGGCTAGCCCAGGAATCCCGGGAGTAATGGGGAGGGCCTGGACCACACAGTGGTAGGAGAGCTGGACAGCAGTGCTGGGGTCCAGGCTGTATTTGGAAGGCAAGGCTCGCCGAGAGACTGGATGTGGGGTCTAGAGGAAGAGTGGGGTCAAGGCCAGCTTGTGGGGTCCAGGAGCCTCTGGACCAGGGGTGATATGGCCTTCTAGAAATGGCACAACCTCCTTCTGAAGCATATGGAGTGGTGTGCACCTCACTCATGGCCAAGAGGAGGGGCCGAGCTTTGGGGTTCAGAAGTCAGGTCAACATGAGTTCAAGCCTCAGCTTCCCCACTTCGGAGCCATGCTTAATGATGACCCAAATGGGTGGTGGGGATTACATCTTCCACAAACATTGATTGAGAGGAAATAAACGGGAAATGTCCTGTGAGACCCCCAAGAGACAGTCAGGAAGAAGTCCCTCCCTGGGTGGACCTCACAACTGAGAGTCAGCGGGGAGCACAGGCGCAGGGGGCAAGGGGCGGGTGGGAAGGGTAGCCTGGACAGGGCTCCCTGAATAGCGTAACTGTCCCTCTCCATCTTGGGGCTCTGGCGTGCCATGGATCACACCCTGCGTCCTCCATCCAGGTGACATCGTGTGACCAAACTAACCTCTCTGAACCCCAGCTTCCTGGCCTGGGAAATAGAGAAACACTGGTCATAGCACTCCCGGGAGGGATGCCCTGAGGACTGACAGGAAACACCTGGCCAGGGTCTGCCCGGAGCTTCCAGTGCACGCCCTCATGCAACCTTCTACTTTAAGATGGAATATAGGTGTTTGTGTGAAAAAAAAAAACCCCACATAAATGCATACACAAGTGTATATGCGTACATACACATCTATATGAATATATACATAAGTACATATGTGTATGTAGGCAAATACACTCACAGTATATGTGTTTATATAGAAATATATGAATATG